GTCCAATAATTGTGTAAGGTTGTTATTGTTAAGATTTCTTCCTTCTGTGTATAGAAATTACATACTAAAGTATGTGTTTATGCATTTCATGGAACAACTCATGAAGTCGGGCCCGGAGAGACCGGGATTGGCCGTTCATTCATGTGTCTTAACCTTTGAGATGCGTTAGTCTAATCTAAAGGGGTGTCAGGTTGTTTTCTGCTATGTATACGTTGGTGGACGGACACCTACACAGTGTGTTTGACTCACTGTTCTGAGTGATTGTGTATATGGTGGCGTTTTCGGACTTCAAGCACGAATTGTATTTATTTCAGCTGTCAGCGTTAACACCGTTTTTTAGGGCCCGCAGAAAATGTTAACATTTCTGAAATCACAGCATGTAGGGTGCAGTCTCTCTTGGGACGTAGGCTGAGCCTGTGTGTGTGGGGGGTGGGGGGGGGGGGAGGTTAGGGTCAGTTATAGATATTTTGGGGTCGGTAAAACGGGTCACATCCGGCAATATAGATCACGTGTGGTCACCAGTGAGAGCTTCGATAGAATACAACCGGATACAACTTTTGCTTGGACTAACGCGTCTCAGAAGTTAAGACGCATGAATGAACGGCCAGTCACCAGGGATGCCAATGCTGGGTTTTTTCCCCAAGATCTTGGTTTTTTTAGTTGCCGTCTTGGTTTCTTGGTTTTTATTTGTAAAATTATTGAAAATCTTGGGTTTTCAGTCTTAATGATGAAAAAAAAACTACAATTAATAAATATTCTAACAAGAATAATGTGTGTACACATATCTATAATAGTTTTACCCGCAAATTATATTTTGAAATGTCCTACAAACACTTAAAATAAACTCAGTGTAATTAATGTAACAGAATACAAAGGTTAACTCCAGGGCTATTCAGGGAAAATGTAGCAGACCACCAAAGGACCAGATTTACGATCCCCGAGTAGTGTCCCTTAAGTAACAGATACTAGGGGCGGAGAAGCAAAATGGATGAAGCCTGGGACTTTTGATCGTAAACTTTACAGAAGAAAGAAGTGACCTGACATTTAATTATTGAAGAAAGTTTGGGAGACTTTTCCTCTCTTCTAGGGGTAATTGACCTGACATTGTAGCGTCTCAGTGGTTGAATTGAAATAAAGCAGATTAGCAGAAACCAACTAAGGACTACCAGGGAGGGACCTTTAGTTAAGTTTTCACTAGTTTTTTTTTTTTTTTTTCTGTGTTGTGGTTTGTTGAACTGTGCTATCAAAATTTACTCTGATTATAACCTTGTTGAATTCAAAATGAGTGAATAGATTACACCATCGAAGAAAAGAAAATGGTATGCTAGGTGTTTCAAAGAGGAATGGCAGTATTGGTACCAATTGAGAAGCATAAAAGATGGCCTAAAATGTAAAATATGATATTTTATCCGCTTTTATGACCAATCTCACTATTTTGCTTCACTCGTCAGCAACGGTTGAACGCATATTTTTCCTGATGATCTGTGTCAAAACTAAACAAACTAATTCTCTGAAAGCAGACACTGTAAAAGATTGAATTCTTGCAAGGCAAGCAATCACAAGAGGAAATGGCGACTGCGCGACATGGACACCTAATAAAGAATTGCTAAAAGAATTGCAAAGTGGCGCAGTTAGTCAAAGATATTTTAACAGTATAAAAAAAAAACAGAAAGAGACGGTGACAATTGAAATTGGTGAAGAAGGAGAGCTGCTAGAGTAACAGTTTAATAAAGGTGGGTATATGTTCAGTTTCACAACTATAAAATACTTTTTGCACAGTGCTGGGTTTTTTATTTTATTTTTTGTTCATATCTTGGGTTTTCGTCAGCCCGATCTGGGTTTTTGACAAAAATCTCATTGGCAGCCCTGCCAGTCACGGTCTCCCTGGGCCCGACTTCATGAGTTGTACCTGTTCATATTGCTTCAAACATGTCAGTATATTAATTTGCCATTTTCGGTATTTTTAATATGAATGTGCTCAATTGCAAATAAATATTTAAAAAATATTCGAAATAATATGGCATGCATAAGCAAATGAACCTAAAGTAAAAATGGGATCTCTTAGGACTCCTACTCAACATCGCCCCCACCCCATATTTTGTGTGTATCGCTCAAGCAATGCCTGCTTTCTCCAATTTATATTGAAGGCCTTGGCTGAAGGGCTTGAGATCCCAGGACCGGGCGATTATGTAATCTGGTAATCTTAGTTTATGCGATTATGTATTGGGAGCATCTTGTCGTTACAGAGTAACCTTCAGAATCAGAATAGAGGAAAGCTGTCATGTTTTGGGCTCGTTTAGGAGTAGTTTCCCTTGTGTTGTGAACAAACATACCGAACCGGAAACAGTGTCATTCTCTTGAATACTCCAAATTAAAAGGTATGTTAGAACATTTTTCATGTATACATTTATATCTGTTGACATCTCTCTGCTTATGACTATGCAATACATTTCTTATCATATTTTGGAGATATGATTTATTGTAAGTATATATTATTAAATAATACTTATTATTCGTAGGGGCATAATCACACTAAGCCGGGAATGCAGAGACGAGACTGGCCAGCAGGTGCCACGGAGATGGAAATTAGAAATTTAGCAATTAATTCAAGATAATGCTCGTCAGAGGATTTTATCATTTACGTGGTTCAGTGTCAAGAGGCTCCCTCTATACATCCATCCCTCACACTCTGATAGTCTTAGGGCACTCAAGTTTTTTTTGGACAGAACTTGTACTGACCCTTAACTCTGAGTTCAGAGGTGAGTATTTTTACCAGATCAGTAGGATCGTGATGGGCACCAAGATGGGTCCTAGTTACGTAGGCCTCTTTATCATTGGAATATGAGGTCAGTTTATCATACCTGGGCAAGTTTCCAGAGGTTCATAGGAGATGCAGAGTGATACATAATGATGGCGTTGGTATCACTCACTGAAATGTCCAAGGGTGAGATTGATTAATTCATCATTTACATTAGCAACTTCAGTTCAGTCCTGGCTATCAAATTCACCTTACTGATCTCCATAACTTCAGTAATCTTTCTTGACATTACGGTCAGCATCGATTTCCCGTGTTTGAAGACTACAGCCTGGTACAAACCCACGGATTTTCAGTTATCTTCTCTATACATCATCTCACCCACTACCATGTACAAATTATATTCCGCACCACTCACTGTTTCTCTGACTGCGCAAGTTGTGCCCTGATGATTCTAACTTCTTTGATAAATCACTTGAACTTCTTGGTTTCTTCTGTGCCCGTTTATATCCGGAACACATTCTACAAGAGGCTCTGAACAGTTTTAACAATCACCAGGAGAGATGCTTTCCCCACCAAACGTAATTCTACCACTACCAGCGATGGACTTAAATTGATTTTGACTTTTCATCCCAACAACGGGGTTGCTTCCAAAGTATTCTTTCATCATCTAGATACCCTCCTCACTGATCCGGACAAAAAGATGATCTTATATGAGAAGCCGAGATAATAGACTAGTTTATGGACGAGACCCCAACCTTAAAGACCTACTTGTCAGAAGCCGACTCCTTCTGATCCACGCACAGCACTTCTTTTTTGGGACTACTGAATGCTCCCACACAACATGCAAGACGTCCTTTCGTTGTCCAGACCTCATCCATCAGTTTCCCCAATGGTTCTTTTGAAATTATGGAACCTTTTACTTGTGAATCCTGAAACATAATTTATGCCATAATCTGCAAATGATGCAACAAAGCATTAGGGAGACTGGCAGGAAGCTAGCTGATCGTTTCCGGGAACACCTCTGCGATATTGACAAGAAGTCAAACCAATCACTCTCCATTTTAACAGCTCTGAGGTATAGATTATATATCTGTCACAACTTTAAAGTCATGCTCTGGCGGTCATACCACGCTCCTCATCCACAGCGTAGGTGTTCTTAGTCCAGGTGGCATCAATATCAGACATACCTTAGTCTAGTCTAAGCAGTTTTACTATTATCAAATTTTTAGTTCTTTGCTTTTATTTCATAATAATAATATTGCTTTATTCTGTCTCTTATCATTTTCATTTATGTATCATTAACGTTTGTATTTTTTTAATTCCTACTATAATATTATTTGTTAACAATATTACTTTTTATTTTTGACGACTTTATATTTTTTTAGCCATTATTTATTTTATTTTATTTCATTCACTCCACATCACATCACATTTTTTAAAAATGTTGCTCACGTCACCCCTTGGAGATCCGAATACTCTCTTCTTTGTTACATTTGTGTAGTTTAACTTCATGGTTGACAAAGGCTGCTGGCTGAAATGTTATTTATGTTGTTTTGTGCATGTACTTCTGCTTTCCCATTTCGTTAAGCTTTTTATTCACATTTCACTGGAATTCCTTTTGGTTTATTAATAATTGTTAAATTGTTATGCAGTGATTGATTGATTGTGGTTTCTAACCTATATTAATTAATAATATGTGTTATCTAATTCATATTGTATATAACGAATAATTGTATCTTTTTTTTTTACTATTTAAAATGAAAAAAATAAAGTCAAGAATTTAAAATATACAGTGAGTTTTAAAAAAAAACATGTTGCCATGTTAAAACAAATATTAAATACCATTCACAAGCTCACTATACTATATTATTTAAATATATTCTGTGTGTATAGTTAAAAATGAGATACTAAAACAGTATTGCTCAACATAAGAAATAAACCAAGTGAAAATAATTATTGCACTGAATACCAGGCACAAAACAAAGGATCAGAAATAATCCACAAACAGTATTGACATTTAAATGCAGCGGAATAAAAGCCTCACAAATTAGAGAAATAGCAGAGGCATTAATAAGCCATTAAATTTTATATACAGTCGACATATAGGCTCTTGCCGGAAAGCTTTTTTTTAAAAACATGGTGCTGAATATATGGAGGGTGCCTAACAAGACAGAAAAGTTACAAGTTAATTGTATTAATAGATTTTTTGCTGATACTTATAATTTACTCCTTGTAACAGAACATGGCTCCCCCCAGAAGACAACGTGAGAAGAAAAAAGCAGTAACCAATGAGGTCATTACCAAAGAGTGTACAATTCACATGCATAAAAGGGTCTTTGGCATGTAAGTAGTGAGAAGCCTCGATTTTTAACTCTCTGGCAGCAGCTTAAAATGAAGTGGTCTGTGTTCTGAGATATATGTTGTCTGTGACAAATTATGTGTTCTTATGCTGACTGCAAACTCCTAATTGTCTCAGAATTACTCAGGAGGAGATCGGAGCACTTATGGTCATGTCCAGTGTGTAATGAAAATGATTTGCGGGTATTATCCTAGTATTTTGTTTTTGTCTGCTTAGTATTTTCCTTACGGTCCAGTAACTGACGCTTTCTGGTCACTGAATTAGGCCACCTTTAATATTGCCATATCTTTCATTGCCTTTAATACTTTAAAACTTTGTAAAATTCCTTCTATGTTTATTAAATTGTATGTATTGGTGTGTAACATTCTTGTTTGTTTGTGTGTGTGTTCAAAATGTTATTATACTAGAACTATCCGCTTCATTCCTTAAGTGCTTTATTTCTGCCTCAGATAGAATAAGGTCCGCTCCTTTACAAATGGTGGATATTTTCCTGGGGATGGCCTGATGCATGTATGTTTAGAAACTTTGAGCTTTCCTGGGGATGGCCTGATGCATGTATGTTTAGAAACTTTGAGCTTTCCTGGGGATGGCCTGATGCATATATGTTTAGAAACGTTGAGCTTTCCTGGGGATGGCCTGATGCATGTATGTTTAGAAACTTTGAGCTTTCCTGGGGATGGCCTGATGCATATATGTTTAGAAACGTTGAGCCTGCTAAATTCTGTGTGTTACATAATCTGGAAATAATTATATATTATATGCCTCTACCACTGATGCTGTTGTTTTCAGGTTTTGTAACATATTACTGATGGTGACATTTCTAGATATTCTCCTAGCTGAGAAAAGGCTAAGCCAAGGCAAACAAAAAAACAAACTGAAAAACCCCATAATTTTCAGGGTTCTGAAAGCTGGGGCATACAGCAACCTGCATACATGAGAGAATATCGTTACTGCTTAATGACCTCAATACAGCTATACTGCTTGAACATTCTAGAATTCTTATGTCACTGTTTTTAAATGAAAAAGTTTTGTTATGCATTTAACATTTGGGGTTACAATCTTACAGTGGCTTCAAAAAGAGGGCTGCACGTGCCATCAAAGAAATACGCAAGTTTGCAGAAAAAATGATGGGCACCCCTGATGTGCGTATTGATATTCGCCTCAACAAACATCTTTGGTCTCAAGGTATAAGGTGGGTAGTAAAAGTTGTTTGTCAACACTGTTTTTGCTGCCTGTTTGCTGAAATATAAATAGGTGGTGCAACTGTTAGGCTTTATGTGTATGCATACACAACCTTCATTTCCCTCTTACAAAACTACAGTATTACAGTTCCTAAGTCACTTAAAAAAAATTATACAGCCATTTTTAACTAATGTGATTAGTTAGTTGACAGATTATCCTCATTGCACATCAAACCATTCAGTCTATTGGTGCTGAGATCCCGTCTTCAGCAAATCCTACAACCAGTATCTGACAAGTGGTTCTAACAATCTCTTGGTGTGTTATATTCAAACCTTGAACTTTTGCAGACAAGAGCCATATGCAAGCCACTCTTGACTAATTTCCATAATAACAAAGACTGAATGCAGAAATATTCTAGCTACATGTTTATGTGCCACGTTTGTGGCTAAGGTGTTGCGAGCCAGACTCGTAATTCCAGTGTACCCCGATTGAAACCCCCTGCTGACTGCATGGATTTTTATCGTGGTAGGAGGTGTTGCATGTTGACCCAGCCTTTAGTGGGTAGCAGGATATATGTCCTGGGTAAGTAGAGACACCAGGCGTAATGCTGACCGCATACTCCACATGGTGCTGATTGGTCTGTCAAAATATGGGTGTTCTTCTGATATGCCCACTGCGCCTAACGTGTCAAAAGGGATCTTTACTTTACTTACATGTGTATGTATATATTGAGATAAATCTCTCTTCTGGCGTTTCAGAAATTTTCTATTTTGGTACACAAATTAAGAATTGTAAAAATATGGGTGTTTCTTCTCATATGCCCAATGCACACAACGCGTTAAAAAGGATGTTTATTTACATGTGTATGTATATACTGAGATAAATCGGCTCACCTTCGAACTTCTACCCGATATTATGGCGGCCAAACAAATACTCCTACAGTCCCTCGGTAGGAACAAATCACGGCAAAACTAGGATCGGCTCCGAATAACAAAACAAATGGTCTCAGCGATATGTTAATTGCGGACCTGTTTCTGCGACTATGCCTCACCGCCGACAGTATTCCCCGCGCCGCTACGCACGAGGCGGATGGGGGAGGGTTAAACTTTACGAATGTGCTGGATATTTCCGAGGAAAAGCAATTTTAGCGGAAACCCCGTAATGAGATCCAATTTTCGGACTTTAGATGACTGGGACTCACAAGCAGCTACTACCGCATCTCCTGCAATGTCCAAATTATTTGCCCGTGAGTCCCAGGCATCTAGTTTAGATCCCCATTCGCGCCGCGCAGGGATATGCTCGGCGGTGAGTTTAATCGGAAAAACACTGTCGCTAATCTGAGTCGGAGCGGGTGGTCTCCCAGCCATCTCCATATTATAGTCTGTTATGTTGCGTGTCTCGAAATTGTCAATGGTCGCTATTATCGTCTGCTAATGTCATCTGCAGTGTTGCTTGTTGTGACATCTCAAGTAATCCTCGTTTTGCCGCGATGTGTTCGTCGGAGGAGTCCGCTTTTTACACACGACTGAGGCTCTGTTAGGGTATTTGTTTGGCCGCCACAATATCGAAGTTCAAAGGAGAGCCGATAAATTTCTCCTCTAACATTTAAGAAATCTTTTCTTTTGGCACACAAATTAGGAACATATCTCCACTATAAAAAAAAATCTCACCCAAATTCAGTTATATTAACGTGTACAGCTTTCCAGTTTTGTGAAAGTAAACATTAAAACTTGCTATATTTTCAGACACGTACCACACAGAATTAGAGTTTGCCTAGCTCGTAAACGAAATGAAGACGAAGACTCTACACATAGATTGTACACACTGGTTACACATATACCATGTGCGGACTTTAAAGGTGAGGATATAGAATTAAATTGCCATTTAACTAATATGAACATTATAATGTAAATTTTTTAAAATAATAAGCAGTTTGGTCTGTTATAAGTCATTAAATTTAATTCTGTTGATTACAGACCAAAATGTAGCATGTTTAACACTTTGCAGACCAACTTCGGCAATGGTCAAATCTGCCCATATCCCCTAGTGACCAACTTGGACAGTCTTCGTGACATGTAGACTGCAGACAGACCCCCTCAATAGTTTTTGATTTGAGCTTCATCTGGGTATTTTTATTATTCCACTCACTATCTATATCACTTTGAGCTGATAGAAGCGTTGTTTTCGGTAAAATTTTGAGATTTTTCATTGCCAGCGCATATTCAGTCTTTTCGTCATGTCTCATGGCAAAAAACTAGACATGTGCTAATGATGATTTTGAACATGCAGCGAAAATAGCACTGAAAACGATAATTCCTGGATAAGTAGAGATTCGCCCGTGAATGTTATCGTAATATCGCAACTGAAAGAAGCAACGAGTTGATGTATGTACATCTGAAGAAAGTTGTGGGCCTGGCGTAAGAGACCAGAATTCTTCTACAGCTGGAACTGCTGTTTGTAAGTGGAGAAAGGCTGCTCAAAATGAACTTGTTAAGCTTGACAGTCTTCCTCTATACAAACAACATGCCATGTCAGACAGTTGGGTGTGCGCCGATACATTTTGTTTCTAAAGAAAAAGCAATTGCACCTGTAAAAAAGCAGATAATCCTGTTTTATGTGACAAAAGATAGAGGCATGTTGGTCATTACCTACATGACACTAAGAGAGCTCACCTGATGTCTACTGTTTGCTCCAGTGTTGTTATGGACAACACAGGAAAAGTAGAGTTCTTGAGGGCAGAATAATAAATAAGCCAGTTCTTGCAGAAAAATACAACATTTCGGTGGGTATCGATCACTTTGGCCAGCTGGGTGCAAACTGCCCCTACCCACCTGGATCCTATAAATGGTAGTTGCTATTATATTATTTATTTTTAGTTGACACTGCCCTGGTCAATAAGCATATTAGCTACAACACTGCCAACTCTTTGTATAAGACCACATCAAAGAGGTTCAGGCAGGATATCAGTCTTGCTCTTATTGGACCAGCTGTAACACCTTCAAGACCACTCGTCACAGCATCACACAGGGTTTGTAGCCGGCCTTAAAACCTGGAAAAAGTTGCGAAATGCAAGATCCCCCTCAAAGTCTGGAGAAACTCTGGATTTTTATGAAAACAAAAAAATCCTGTAGCTTTACCCGACCCACTAGTCGAAGAACTTTGCAGTGTACCCAGGACACAGATAACAATGAACATTTCTAGTGTTTTTCAGCAATTTGAGCTTTTTGCAATTAGTTTTTGTTGTTACACAGCTGTTTAATTATGGTAGGTAAAGAGAGTGGGCTACCGTCCAGACCTTTTAAATGTGTGCCAGGCAAGTGATAGGCGGTTCAATCTCATTGTTTGCTTATCGGGGTTGGGTATGGAAGATTTGGAGATAGCTATCTTCGTCTGTCTAGTTTCTCCTCATCCCTCTTCCCTCTCCTTCAGTTGGCGTAAGGTCAGCTGGTACCCAATGCAGAACATGCCCCCCTGCCCCCACATTCATATGCATTCAATATATGTATAATTTTAAAAACATTCAGTTAAAATATGGAACACATACATTATGAACTATGCTTCACATTATTATAATTTCATCTGCGCAAAACTCTTAGTCTTCGGTAGTACAGTTGTAAGTATCCCGCCTGTCACATGGGTGACCAGTGGTCAAATCCCTGTCTGGTGATAATTTTTCCTTGCCCTAAAAAGAGCATGTTTTGGTTTACAGCTAGGCTGCAATATCTGCGCTTTTCGTCCCAACATGTCCAATTTCAGCCAAGACCTAGTCGACAACGTGCAGATCAATGTGGCAGATCTTTTTTCCTCAATGGATCAAAAACTATTCTTCCCAACGCCGCTTTAATGGATCAAAAACCACTCATTCCCACAACGCATAAACTGGATGAAAAATATAATCCTCCCCACGGCGCTTCAATGGATAGAAAACTGTTCCTCCCCATGACACAGCTTAACGTCTAAACATTTATATTCATTAAGCAATAAGGGCAGAATTTTTACTAGATAACCTCTTGAGGCTCTCAAAGGGATGTTTCTGGCAGCGTATATTTTGGGACCGGTATTCGGAAGAGTGCCTCAGAAATCAATAGTCCACTCCTACAGGACTAATTTCTGTCCATCTCTACCTACCTGTATCTCTTTCCTTACTCTCCCTCCCTCTTTGTCTTGCGCACTGTCTCTCCCACTCTACCTCATCTGTCTCTTTGGCTCCTTCAGGTACTAGGTCTAGAAGAGACATGACTTCAGTTTGCTCCCCTCTGCCACCAATGTATAAACACTAAATCTATGCTGGTATACCCACATGTGTGCGTATAAATAAAGTACCGTATGTGTTCAGTACACCCTTGAACAAGGCAAAAATACCTTGCCAGTATTATCACTACACAACCTTGAAAAAACTAAGAACACCTTGAAATTGATCAGTAAATTTGGCTATGAACTCTGATCACAACCTCTTGAGCGCCACTTTAAAACAAAATATATGAAAGCCAAGGTACAAACCAGACTACATTGTGTGAGGCTACAAGTAAAAGAAGCTAGACTTGCATATACTGCCCGGATTGCTATTCACCTCTGTGATTGGCACCCTGTTTCAAGCTATACCACACAGTTGAGGTTTACCGACAAAGACAGGGCTACTGCTACAGCTTCAATTCCAGTTAATGAAGAAAGTAGCTCAGACTTTAACTAGAGGTGCTTTTATAATCAAGCATCCACAAATGCTTATTGTAGCATGACAAGTAAACACAGTGAACAAAAAATTTTTTTCTCCTCTATTAACTTATTTATTTGCTTTTAATGTTGGAATTTGTGGTCAGTCGTTAAATAATTGCTCCTTTTTAGCAAATAATAATCATCGCCAACCATGTCTCCAACATTTTAATGTGCTGACATTGAACAAATTCACTTAGAACTGGAAAAAGATTATGGTTTTATAACATCTCCTGAAATTTCTATAAATAGCCAGGCAAAGAAGACCGCCATGATCATGTGACATATTTACATAATATTAATTTTTTCGTGTTTTGCAACCATTCGTAATGGTGCTGTAAAGGTTTCAAAACCCTATGAATTTTTAAAGAATTTTTTTTTAGAAAAACTAGTCATTTAAAAAAAATTAATAGTAGACAGTAATGCCCCGGATTGCTGGTCAGGAAAGTGTTAAAATTGCTCAGTATCTAAAGTAAATCTTAAACAAATTTCAGTGAATAACGACATGCGGAAAGGGTGTTGGCATTGGATAGGTTACATGCTGAGAAAACCTGATAAGATTAAAACTGTCTTTGCATTGGAACCCACATTAATGAGTGAAATATTGACTGAAATATGAATAAGTGGTACAACTGTCTGTCGGTGAACTGTGCATGATAGCAAAGGGTTGAATGACTTGACAGACGTTGGTTGAGGTGGTGTCTACTCCACTGCTCAGAAGAAAGACTTGATTATCAAGGTTTATTAATTGAATGATTTTAACCAGTGAAATATGTAATCCTTTTTCTGTTATGTTTAAGTTTAGTAGGCTGTGCGTGTTCTTGTCGAGACATGTCATATATTTCTTTTGTTTTCTCCCCCACAGGAAAACAGACCATCAATGTTGATAATGAATAAACTATTTTCTCAGACACATCAGACTGCTCTTGTCTTTTTGCTTTTATAAGGCTTGTTCTGTGAGCTGCAGTAGTAAGTGGGATTGTCTACCAAAGCTGAAACATGAAAACCAAACATTTTCATGTATTGAGGATGTCAAGTGAGTTAATATAACTATAAAGTCCTTTCTGTGGAACCACTGATAGGAAAGGCAGATCTTAAACACATGCACGCATAGAATTTAAACCAAAAATGTGGGAAGTATTATATAGGAGACAGCAAAATGTATGAGGGATTGGCATTGAGCACCTATTTTCAATTGAGCACTCATAAGCATGTGGTCTGCACAAGAAAGGGAATGTGGGCTACCTAGAGTGTCGGTGTCATTCTCAGAGGGTGAGTAAATGCCAAAAATATGTATTTAAAAAAGACAATTTAGATTATTTTTTACGCTTTTTGTATTTCTTCTAAAGAAGTCTTAGAAATACACCACTCAGATATACCTACAGAACATTGGAGTTAGTTTTGAGAAGTGTAGTGAAGTATAAAAATGAGAAGTCTGAAGATCTTTGCAAGCACGCCCTATAGAAAAGGTTATCGCCAGTTCTAAAGCCACAAAAGAGAACCCACCAAACAAACCGCCATCTTCACGGACAGCTCAACAACGATCGCCAGACCTGATAGACAGCCACAATGTGACCCTGCCCATCCCGGTTCCAGGCCGCCCCAGGCAAATGGCAGCCCTTCTTAGGGCTGCACCACCCACTCCTCAAAAGCCGGACTACACAAGCCAAGCCTGATCGAGTAGACATGACGCAGCAGCAAACACGCGAACTTAGGCGCCACAATGAATCAAACTTAGTCAGATAGCAAAGAAACCGTCCTCAATAAAGCAGGCCTTAGGGCAGCTGAACGAGGGCCAAATTTGACTTTTTTGTTTGGTTTCTACAATTCTGATCTTTGCAAAAGAAATGAGATCAAGGAGACAGCACCACAGTTTGCAGCGAACACTTCTGAAGCGATGGATATTCCTTTAGTGAACAGAACAACCACCAGAAAGAATAAAATGTTGCCAAGATAAAAGGCTCAGGATGAAGTGCCTACATTGAATAGAGAATTGGAAAGAACATTGTTGAAATACATTGACAAATTGTATCCAGAAATGGACACACACTGACAATGACACAGTAAGATACCTGTATGGTTTGCAGTTTCAAGCCTAGGAATCTTGTCAAGACGTCTGCATTGGACAAATGACAGTGTGTAAGGCATAAAAATGTGAGCAAAGGCACATGGTATGACTTACATTCCTTGTAAAACAGGCACAGATGAGACACCTTTGACACTTGGGTGGCATTTGGCAGTCAACCCAATGTCTGCAAAATTGTACATTATACAATTGCAAGAATGTTCAAAAGGTAAAAAACAATTAATTGGTGTGCTTGAGTTGTGCAGCCTTGTAGGAGCTTTTTGTCAGGAAACATCCACAACTAATTCTTTCCTGTAAGCTCAGAATGTCATAGAACCTTCATTGTTGCCTGTGCTTTTCAATGTACAGACACAGTGGGTGTATACCTAAGTAAAGGACCCTTTTCCACTCCTTCAAGCATATACTGCTAGACCTGTATTTTATAGACATCGGCACTTGGGTCAGCATCACGCTGGCTGCCTTGACTTACCGGGACTTGGTATTCATGCATGTACAAATTTAGTTCACATTCAATATTCTGGACTTGGACATCATGCCCTAAAGATGTTTTCATATAGCTACTGTCAACCAGGAATAGTGGAAACATTGCCCACAGAGAACTTGCAGATCACTTCCTAACCATAAGCTGCTCAAACATAAACTTTGTAGGGATGTCTCATTCTCGACAACCTCTCCTGCAATGGGGTTGTAGAAACAAAACGTTTGGTTCAGTTAGCATCCTCGAAGGGAGAGATTTAGATTAAAGTTGTGCGTGCCATATAAAATGGCTAAGCATTGCTTGCCACCAAGTAGCTCTGATTAAAAACTCTTGAAATGTTGATGCGATCACCAGAGACATGCCCAAATACTATCCCAACTGGCGGCGAATCAGTGGGTCAACCCGGTCGCTGATGATAATGGAAGGAATAGGCCTATCTCCTTTTAGTGTCAGAAAAAAAAAAGCTTGGGTCGTTCAGTACGCCTAAGCCCTGCACTATCCACAACCCGTACTCATGAGTTACAACAATGTATGTGGTGTTGGTACAGGATCCATTTCCACACATATTTGGTGATATTTCCATTTTTTAAATAGAGCTGCTTGTTGGTAGAGCTAATATCAAGCCGGCTAGCTTTATTTTCTGGAACCGATCTAATCCAATCCGAGCAAAAACAAAAAATCATCGTGTTCAACCAGCACCCCCTTCCAACGCGGAACGTTTGGTTATGATTGTGACAAGCTTATGTGCGCCATCTAGAATGGCTTAACATGGCTCGCTACCAAGTAGACCTGAAAAGAACCCTTGAAGTGTTGATGCGATCGTAGGAGACAGGCCCAAATACTGTCCCGACCGACGACGAGGCCGTCTACCGGTCGCCGATGTTCATAGAACCTTCCCCGGAGCCAGTTTGATCTGGATTAATTTAGGTATCAGGTCAGTATTAATAATCCATTTCTATAGAAATGTAAACTGACAACAGGTGCGATAAGTACCTCAAAGAGAGTATCATTAGGCTGACACATCTGGAGATGTTTGGCAACAGTGTACAGTGCCGACCTGATAATGAGAGCTCACCATAGACCGAACAAGTAGTTTTTATCAGAAAAGTTCAAGCAAGAAAAGGTGCCAAGTAAAAGAAACAAATTGTTCTTCACAACAGAAATGTTTCACATCCGGGATCACCTTACTTAAGGTATCTGCAGTGTATTATTTAACTGTTGATAATGCTATCTGAAATGCAGACAAAAAGACAAAAGATTGCGGACTAATGTGATTGCCATCTACATAGAACATATGAAGCAAACGAGGATTGGTGCCACAAATATTCTCGTAACTCTCAAACAAAAGATTTCGCTAATCTTCCCATATTATCATCTGGTTGTAACTGCTTTGGGTTCTTGTCAGTACTGGTGTCATCAGCAACACTATGAAGACTGGATCTTTATCGCGTGAATTTATTTGTGATTCTTTTTAGTAATCGGTGTCTTTTAGCAGTTATGTGTAATTCAAATCGCCGGATCCTCTCATCTCTCTAAAGGCATAGCAATATCGACGTGATCCAAAGGCCTCCCATCTGCAGGATCTTTCATCTTTCATTGCCTGCAACAGCCACATATCCTAGGACAAATATGAAATTAAGTGCATGCACAGGAGAGTTTCGCACTAACTCGAATCGTGCTCACAGAATCGCTCAGCACACACACACACACGTGAGAACAGTCCTGTGATTCCAGCCACATAAAAGCTTGTATGGTCATGCTGCTTGTAATTATAGAGAAGACACGTGGCTTGGACTGGGGTGCCTGCAGAAAGAGCTGTGAATGCCTATGCACTCTTATGTCCTAGTATACGGACCCATGTGCGTAGATCAACCTACTGGACTTGTCACTGGTAATCTGGTAATTTTAATTTCAGCTTCATGGCAAACGGGTCACCCCATCTTTGCTCATCTCCTGCGCCAACGAAAAACACACAGAATGTTTATCACAGTCCCTTGTGGAACGACTGACATACTGCTGTCTCAGCAAATCTAGCATACACTCGCATTAAAAGCATATGGTAGCCATCCGAAGTGCTAACACAAACAGTCCGACGTTAGAAATGCAGTTCATCATTGATGGTAGCAGAAGTAATTAAAAGATCAGCAGTTGCACACGCGATCAATTTTAATCAAATGATGGCCCCACCAATATTGCGATAACCGGCATCGCGCCATTTTCTGAATCTACAAATCACACCACCACGTTGGTCAGTCGAAAAATATTCCAAATGAAATCCGCAGCTCACAGTGTCACGTCATGCACTCAACTCAGAAGCTGGGCAATGAAACTATATACTTCCAGTCTACAAATGGAGCAAAAAAGCAACGGCCACAGTCTGGCAGAAGCAAAAATGTATGCCTCAGCTCAAAACAGTGGCTGTTCCTAGTGTTCATTTGGACCTGAATCATTATGTGAGGGTTAATAAACTGTCACGCCAGCAGTACCCTACTATTAGCTGGGGAAGGAATTTAGGACATTACATCCACCAGCAAGCCTCGCCCCAACAACGACCTGACTTGTCACTGATTAGCGGGTAGTCTTTGGTGTTGAAAGCAGTAATTAATTCTGCTCCAGACAACTCCTATCAAGCGTGACAACACAGGAAAAAGTGCGATTGAGCGCTTCAGGCACTGGTGTCCATCCTCACGGGGGTGGGTGTCTGTAACAGCTCCTTCTTATCATGCCTTTGCCGTGTGGTAAGTTAAGTACGCGGAAAGACTAACGTATTCAAAATGTAGGTATGCGAATGGCGACGAGCTGCACTAGATAATCTCTAAAAGACAGCACGACACAAGCTAGACATTTTCTCATTCAGTATAGATACGCATTGAAGCAGGCTAAGACCCATTTTGAAGATATCATTGGACATCTCATCACATGAACATAATCGAAAGCAACACTAAAGCGATGAATATAATAGATGGTTATTAGATGTTATTGTTATGTTGGTAAGATTTAACAGCAGCTTCCTGCAGTCCAGACTCTCTTCATAAAGCCGTTGCCCATCAAGATCAGAGCAGTAAAATCCGCATACATTTGCACACTTCTGCTTCAGTTACTTGTCCAAACAATAACACAACCCATCAACATCGGAGAGAAACCCAAACTCTGCATCTGTGTCATGCAATCGAGTATACATTTCAACTTGTATATCCAGGGCAGCCTCTCAAAGGCCAACCTCACGTCCTAGTCGTGAGAGGTGGTAACAGGACAAAGTAGGGGATTGCTAGGTGTGGGCGAAGTATGGTGTGGCCTCGTGCCACGGGACCGCTACGGTAGCCACGAAGGCCA